ACGGTGAAACCGACTTCGAAGTGTGTCTACTAAAGATCGATGTTAGAATGATAAGGATGGGAATACGTATGGGGTTATAATGGAAAGACGTCTCAAGTGGTAGGATAGTGTAGGATAAGTAGAGAGGCCATTGTAGGACGACGCGACTAAGGCACTGCCCCATAACTCATTAGGGATGTTCCAAAATGATTGCGCAGTGTAGATAATATGCTTTTTTGAAAAGAAAAAAAAACAGTAAGAATAAAGCTTACTTCCAAAAATTTGTCTTCACTTTATTTGCATATCAATTAACAGGTTGTGTATATAAACCTGCTTTCCCCTCTGGTCTCTCAGTCACTGACGAAAGCTAGTGGATACTAGCTGAAACGTCTGACGTTTTCAAAATCATATCCAGTTGCTTGAGTAACTGTTTTTTTGGCATACAGTAAGAATAAAGCCTTTTATTTCATTTAGTCATAGTCGTTAATATTTCATATCTAATTAGTTCTCTGGCATCGCTACATTATGACTTCAATTTCATATTTTTTTTATGTACGTTGGGCAACTTTTTCATACGTTATAGGTACAGCCACACCAGTACTATCTGATTGAACTTAAAATTAAGAATTGCTAATAATTACGTTACTTTACATTTCCAAACATGACATAAAAACAAAATATGAATAGCAATTGTAAAGGTAACTGGCAACTGAATTCTACTTACTGTACAAAACCTTACCTGTAAAGTTGCAGGGCATAATCTCTTTTTATTTATTCAGTTGGAATGATTACTGCTATTTTTAAATAGTAATTTAAGATAAAATCAGTCGAGGTATCGTAATTGTGTAGAAAAGGGTATTATGGTATATCCTTGGGTATTGGTTGTCCTCACCTTCGTGGGCTGAGTGGCTTGATTGAACCCTCCCTCCCGAGCGCTGACGAGACGCGATGTCCCTCGGTGTGGTACTAAAAAAATTCATTACGTTTTCATTATCTAGCTGCCCTTAAATGAATTAAACATACTAGTATATCGTGTGTACGATTTCAATTACAAAACCAAGGGTCACGAATTTTGGTCGCTCAGCCTAGCGATCGCCGTCTTGTGACAGGATGCTTACATACCTGCCCCTTTTCATCTTGCTGAGGTACTGGATGCAAGATCCAAATTAAAAAGAACCGGGGTTGTTACGAAGCCACATGTAAAGTCCGTACAGACACAGTTGATCACAACACTCTTTCGGAGTACAAACCTGAATTTCACTATACCTACCTAGTCCCATGACCGACACTGGTCATCGGGGGGACAAGGCAGACTTTGCTGCAGAGGTGTAGCCAGGTCTTCCTGTCTTGGGTTACTGTAAGGAGTTGTGGGACGGTGAGGAACGTCCAGTCCTTGATGTTTTCCTGCCAGACTTTCTTCTATCTACCTCGCAGTCGCTTTCCTTCCAGGTTGTTGTGGCGGGTCAGATGTCCATAGCATTACTATCACTAAACGTTTTGTTACACGTGAAAATGTCCAGAGTATACCTTATCATTGACTTTGAGGTATTGTCGCACATTCTCGGTTGGTAAAAAATGGCTGTTTTTATATAACAACTTGGCGGTGGTAGCTATAGCCTGGCTTAGTTGCAGGTATTTCCCATCCAAGCTAATGCTGCGAATCTGAATTGTGTATCTATGGTGCTGCACCTGTAACAAGGCGGCCCACGTAAATTTCACTGGGTGGTTTCCTGTCCTTGCAAAAGAAGCCTGTAATTCCAGCTCAAATCATGGTTAAAGGTCAATGACCTAGAAAGGTATGTAAATACGCGGCAGTACTTTACGTGCATTGTAGTTCCCAAACATGGCCGACGCCGATGTGCCTCTCCGCATGCCAGGTGAAGATTATGTCCGTTTTTTCCAGCCAAGGGGTCTTCTGGACACTTACTATCGGGACTTTCCACAACAAGACGATGGGAAAGATTTCAGACACTGGTTAATCAAAACCCACCACCAGACGTTTTTGTCAGGTAACAGGATTTTTCACCTAGGCTTAAATTTCCGTCCCTGTCTTTTGGACCTAAAGCTGGCGACAAAGAGAAGTTACACGAAGTGTTATGATTAGTATATACCAACAGATAACCTTTAAGCATATGTGTCGACTAGTGTAAGTTGCGGCCTTTTCTTTGCTTGTAAACTGAGTGGTTTTATTATGTGGGGAGAGGCTACCTTGGGGTATCTTGCAAGCTGAGTGTTTTATGTGGGGAGAGGCTATCTTGGGGTATCTTGTAAGCTGAGTGGTTTTATGTGGGGAGAGGCTACCTTGGGGTATCTTGTAAGCTGAGTGGTTTTATGTGGGGAGAGGCTACCTAGGGGTATCTTGTAAGCTGAGTGGTTTTATGTGGGGAGAGGCTACCTTGGGGTATCTTGTAAGCTGTGTGGTTTTATGTGGAGAGAGGCTACCTTGGGGTATCTTGCAAGCTGAGTAGTTTTATGTGGGGAGAGGCTACCTTGGGGTATCTTGCAAGCTGAGTGGTTTTATGTGGGGAGAGGCTACCTTGGGGTATCTTGTAAGCTGAGTGGTTTTATGTGGAGAGAGGCTACCTTGGGGTATCTTGTAAGCTGAGTGGTTTTATGTGGGGAGAGGCTACCTTGGGGTGTCTTGTAATCTGAGTGGTTTTATGTGGGGAGAGGCTAATTTGGAGAGAACAGTATGTGCTTAGACTTTTTTAAGACAATATTTTTTTTAAATTTCGGTGACTACGTCATGCAAAATATTCACATGGTGTCATTCATAGGTAGAAATGGAGATCAAGCCAGAGATCTATTCATACACTGTGCAACTTTAGTTAATATTTTACATTCTGTACCTTTTTTGTTGTCACCTTTGTTGTCAGATCAGGTGAAAAGGAAATCAGATCAGGCGACTTTAATTAGGCGTGACTTGAATCCGCCCTGCAAGTCAGGCCTCCAGCGTTTGTTTACTGTAATAATAGTGGTAGCATACCTTAACGTTTATCATAGACACTATGTCTAAAAGCTTTACTAGGACATGTATTGTCTTTCAGGTCAGTTCAAAGGACAGCGCCTTTTGGATGTTGGCACCGGTCCAAACATCATCAGTGTTTTAAGCGCAAGCAAGTACTTCCCCGACATAACGTGCTCGGATTACTTACAGGTAAAACCTTTCCAAATTCATATCTAGTTGCTTGAGTAACTACTTTTTTGTCGTATCTTATTACCTGGATGTCTAACCTTCATCGACATACCTTTGTACTCCTCACCTCACTTAACCGGTCCCATAGCAGTCAAGGTACTGCCGTTGGGGCAACTAGACTGTGCTACTATCATCAAAAAGACTTGTAAAAGAGTTTGGCATGACTATAATTTGTAATGATGTTTTTCCCTCTCGATATTATGAAAAGTTCAAACATGTTTCCTCTCTTATTCCTTTCAAAAAGCATCTCTATTTAGGAAATTTTTCGTCTTCTCTCAATAGACCTGTCGTGACGAGCTAAACACGTGGTTTCAAGACGATCCTGGTGCTTTTGATTTTGGTTCTTACATGCAGTACCTCAGCAAGATGGAGGGAGGCAGGTACGTAACCCCTTCTTACAAGACTAAAATTTCTTAGAGATCGTCAAGTGAACATAGATTTTTGTGCCCCTTTGCTTTGTAAAGTGAACATAGTAAGACTTTTGTGACCCTTTGCTTTGTAAAGTGAACATAGTAAGATTTTTGTGACCCTTTGCTTTGTAAAGTGAACATAGTAAGATTTTTGTGACCCTTTGCTTTGTAAAGTGAACATAGTAAGATTTTTGTGCCCCTTTGCTTTGTAAAGTGAACATAGTAAGATTTTTGTGCCCCTTTGCTTTGTAAAGTGATCATAGTAAGATTTTTGTGACCCTTTGCTTTGTAAAGTGAACATAGTAAGATTTTTGTGACCCTTTGCTTTGTAATTTGACTCTGATACATGATGTAAAAGTATATTTCAATGGACAGCAAGGCACAGAAAACGAATTTTTTTCTATTTAGTACCACACCGGATGACATCGCGTCCCGTCTGCGCTCAGCAGTGAAGGCTGTCCTGCCCTGTGACGTCACTCAGCCCAATCCACTCGCACCACAAAGGTTCAAACTCTCTAAAATATGCACAGAAATTTTCAATGACAGTCACAGAAATATTATTTAAGTAGAGACTAAACTAGCTGTTGTTAACAATACCTAAACTGATTTTTTAGAAGAAGATATAAATCATTCCTCTGGCAAATAAAATCAAACTTAATTGCACAACAACAATCATGCACAACAAACACGGCAAATTCTTATGAGGTAATACATATAAAACTAATATATACTCTAACGTCTACAGGGATGCTTATGAGTTGTATATATCAAGACAAACATAATTCCACTATTTGATATAAGAGATACAATATATGGAAAATTGATTACATAACTATTAACAGAAGTTCTTTAAAAGTACAGACAAGACTCTACGTTTTTAGTAGCTTATACGGTTTATATGATATGCAATACATATATGGATAACATGATAATGTACGTTAGTTTGTTATGTTGGATATATTATGATTTCTTTGCGTAAAGCTTTTGATATATATTGGCCAATGCACAGGGAATCGCGTCGGGACATAGCATGGCGGTAAAGTGAAGATACGTCACATTGAGATATGATAATACATTATATTACCCCTTTCTACTATAGAGGTGAGATTTTGTACTGTGAATAGCATTAACATATGTGGTTGCCTATACAGCGGTTTAGGTTTTTACTAATGCAACGTTCTCCCCGCCACAGTTCGGAGCCTTTCGATGTCGTTGTCTCCTCTCTCTGTGTGGACTCGGCCTGCAAGACCAAGGAAGAATACTGCGCATGTCTGGGAAACTTGGCTTCACTCGTGAAGTCCGGCGGGGGTCTTATTCTTATAGGCACCCTGAATGGTACCATCTACATGGTCGGGAAGGAAATATTCTACAATGTTCCTATTGACGAAAAATTCCTTCGCGAAAGTCTGGAGAAGTTTGGTTTTACAAACATTAAAATCAAACAACACTTCAACAACCTGGACGTAGATGTAGCTGACCTGTCAGCTTTCTTCTACTTGACGGCCAGAAAGGCCTAATTTTTGTTACCTTGTCGTAAACTTGGCAGCAGTCAGACGGGGAGGGGGGGGGTGAGGCCCGCGCCCACTTTCATCTCAGATAGCGCCTGAACGGCTTATGCTAGAACAGTCAAATTTGGTGACTTTTCTTAAAAATATATCTGGAAATAAGTTCATATTAATTAGATAAGTTCCTTATTTTTCATGTTACCATGGCAACGGGTTTCTGACAGGCACTTTTTGGAAAACTCATAATGCTAATATATGCTAACTTGATGGCGTCATCAGTCAAAATCCAAGATGGCGGACCATACGTCTAAACTCTGTAATTTTTCACATATTCATATAACGTTCACAATTATGAAGACCTTTAGTCCGTTTGTGTTGCGTTTGGAGGCTTGTATCCAGTAGACTTATCGGCGACCGTCTGTCACCTTTCTTGAGACAATTCTGAATGGTTCACATTGTAGAGCACAGTCAGGTGTCGCTGCTTTTGAGCACGCAATTCATTTAAATATATCCGCAAAATTCAGGAATACAACCAAACGTCAGCAAAAGAAGTGTCTTTAATAGAATATCAAGGTCAACTTAGACTTTTGTTGCCATTGGTAAGAACAAAATGACGCCATAAAATGACTTCGTATATATTCAAGCTATCCATTTTGGATCGTCATTCTTGAATTGTACAGTCTACAAAATAAAATCCGAAACTATTTGTTTCACACAGTTTTATTAACTCTGTGTTAATGCAATTGTACATGTACATGTAATACTATAGCCTTAGTATATATACACTTATAAAATGGTACATAACTATGCAAACATAACAAAATATCAAACGAACATTACTTGCATTGAAAACCATTAGCATTCAAACAAACTTGTCTGAACAATATATCAAGACAAGCATGTCTCTTGAATCTGGTGCTAAAATATACCCACACAAAAACGAAAACACCTGCCCCTGTTGTGACAAAAGTTACCAAAGTCAACGCACATGTTCGTGTTGTTAAAATACCATATGTTCAAAAACATAAACACGCAAGCGCATCACACAGAAAAATACCTGTCCTTGGTGCTAAACACTAATAAAAACTTCCCCCGGTGCTTGAAAACCATTCACACACCATTGTGCTCGACATAAAATTCTCAGTGATCTGTACCTTTTCATAAGAGCTTCTGGTAAATACTAACGGGGCAAATCGGACCCTGCCTATCTGTGCTGTGCCTCTTCTGTGTCTGTAAATTTGTAACTGGTGACTGTAACAGCCTTTCCTTTTTTAGGGTGAAGGCTCCACGGTGGCATTGTTCTTCTTCTTGTACATCAGGAACCCGCTTACGGCTAGTCCTGCTCCCACAAGAACCATCGCCCCGACCACGCCGCCTGCTACCGCCCCTCCCCGTGCCTCGCCCTTGTTAGCGGCGGCGGATTCTCCCTCCCCCGGCCGGCTGGTGGTTAGCGGCGCTTCACCTGACATCGCAGTGGTCACCATGTTAGCAGCACCATTAGTTGTAATGGTGGTTGTGCTCACAGACATGGTGGTTGTAAAAGCAGGCGCGGTGGTTGTAGCAGCATGTGTGGTTGATGTTACAGCAGGTGTGGTTGATGTAACAGCAGGCGTTATGGTTGTAACAGCTTGTGTGGTGGTTGAAACAGCTGGTGTGGTGGTTGTAACAGCAGTTGTGGTGGATGAAACAGCAGGTGTGGTTGTTGTAACAGCAGGTGTGGTGGTTGTAACATCAGGCGTGGTGGTTGTAACAACCAGGGGTGTAGTAGTGGCGGCCTCAGTTACATCTGTTCCTAAAATGGACAATAAGACACGTGGACAAAGGACATAAGATAAGTGGAATAAATGTATAAAAACACAAACTAGACATTTTAAACTGAGGATTGTGTTCCTTGGAAACGTAATGCATGTAAATAACAGCTTGTTCTGCGTACGCAAAATATTTATGTATATATATATATATATATATATATATATATA